AGCTTCCAGCACAGCAATCAGAGAAACAAGTCCTCCACTTCCTCGGTCTTCCTTGCCCCAGACTACAGCGTCTGTTACGGAAAAGCTGTCTTACAGAAAAAGGCTCCTGGAAGCAGGCCGCCACCTTCCCCGTGGATCTCCCCACTCGTGCAGGCCACCCTGGTCCCTGTCTTACAGAAAAAGGTTGACACAATGGCTCAACTGGCTAATCCTCCACTGCCAAGTACCAGCATCCCATATGGGCACCAGTTCGTATCCTGGTGGCTCCGTTTTCCACCCAGCAGCTTGCTTATGACCTGAGAAAGCAGCAGAGAATAGGCCAAAGCCTTAGGACCCTGTACCCATATTGGAGACCTACAAGAAGCTCCTGGCTCCTGGCTTTGGATTGGCTTAGCTCCAGCCACTGCGGCTATTTGGGGAGTGAACCAGTAGATCTTCCTCTCCATCTCTTTTCCCCTTTGCAAATCTGCCTTTCCAATTTCCAATTTTAAAAAGAGTCCTTAAAATTAAAAAAAAAAAAAAAAAAGGGCGGGATGGCTCCAAAACACCTAGCCAAGGACTGGGCGCTTGAGACAGCAGAGTGGCATGCCCAGGTCGGTTCCCAGCGGGCACTGGGCGCTTGAGCCAGCAGTGCGGAGTGCCCAGGTCGGTTCCCAGCGGGCACTGGGCGCTTGAGCCAGCAGTGCGGAGTGCCTGGGGTCGGTTCCCAGCCGGGGACTGGGTGCTTGAGCCAGCAGTGCGGAGTGCCTGGGGTCGGTTCCCAGCCAAGGACTGGGCGCTTGAGCCAGCAGTGCGGAGTGCCTGGGGTCGGTTCCCAGCCGGGGACTGGGCACTTGAGCCAGCAATGCAGAGTGCCCAGGGTCGGTTCCCAGTGGGCACTGGGCGCCTGAGCCAGCAGTGCGGAGTGCCCGGGGTCGGTTCCCAGCTTGCTCCTGACTCTGCTGCCACCATGGGAGGGATCTGCACAGAGTCCTTGTCCCTAGCTCCCAGCTTCCACTGAACCAAAGCCAGGGCTGCCAGGAGGTGACCAGTCGATGTAATCTCTTGCTCTAACTATGAAATAAATCAATCAAATTTAACAGCATATTAGGCAGCAAAGACTGCTCCCTGCATGACAGCCTTAGGCTAGGCCCCAAGTAACACATTAGCTAAACAGCTTCTCCCACCCGCCCTGACCCTCAAGACCCCAGCACCCCCAGGACCTGACCCCTCCCTTCAGTCCCTGTCCTGGACTATGCAGAACTTCCCAGAGATGCACTGCAGAGGAACACAGCTGCTCCCAAAGTCATCTGTGATGCCTGCTTCCCTGCACGTGTCACCGAAGACAGCACACAGGCTCCTACAGCCAGTCCAGGCAGGGGCCAGGAACTCCTCCAAGAATGGGGAAGTGGACAGGGAAGAGGCAACCTGCTTCTCAGGCGCCCAGGGTCAGGGAGTCCAGCTGGAGCCAAACACACCCAGGATCTGGAGCCAGCCTGCAGGGAGGGGCGAGTCCTCCTTGGGCAGCCCTGCACCCCGGGGGCAATGGGATGCTACAAGTGAGGCAAAGTGTGGAAGGTGCAGTGCAGCGTAGGGGAGGCCTTGGTTCCCGGAGGAGTGCACACACCTGGCCAGCATGGGGCCAGAGGTGAGCTGTGCGGCTGACGGTGCCCACCCAGGGGAGGGGTCCACGCGACTGTGCGCCCCCCAGCCAGAGTCAGCAACGGGGGCGGAACAGAGAGAAGCAGCTGCAGAAGCACCAGGTCCCGCTCTCCCCGGGAGAGGAGGAAGAGGAAGGGCCATAATTAGAGCTGGAGGAGGAAGGAAGGGCAGCACAGGACACTCGGCCTGTTGGAGGAAGCAGCTGGGCTGCAGAGCAGGCCTTGCCCACTCCAAGTACAGCCATGGCTGTGGACAACCCGCGCAGGACGATAGCTCCAGGACCCACGCCAACCTGGGCTCCACCCCATGGCGCCAGAAGGGGCCTAAGCTGGCCGGATCTCCACGCCCTCCTGTGGCAGGTGGCAGAGTTCAAGGCAGGCTGTTTGCAGTGGGCTGGGGACAGAGGCTGGGGGCAGGGGAGCAGGGACAGTGGACAGGAGCAGGGGCTGTTCCGCCACACTGGAACTCTTGTTCAAGGCCATCACCTCTGCTGGCATAATCTTTGGTGGATTCTGCCCATTTAGAACAAGACATATCAACAGTACATAAGTGACTTCTTTAAAAAATAAGAAGAATCCTTGTCAAGTGTCCAGCAGTCATTCTGATGATACACCAGGGCCCCAACTGTGCTCGTCCTGCCCCACCAGCCACACTCCTGCTCTCCTGTCTGCAGGGGCAGCCCCCGGCGGGGCTCCATCACCAGCTGAGAGGCCCAAGGCAGGGCTGTGGTGGGGTCAGTTAGACTATCGGGCTCAAGGGCCCCTGAGAGCACACAGTTCTGTCCATCGCAATGTCCCTCAGAGGACGGCTACACGGACATCAAAGATGCGAGGCCTCCAAACTCGGTGTCATGCCCAAGGTCAATGACCACACACCAAGCAAGGATGCTGAGAGCTGGCCAGCCTGGGATCCTGCCTCAAGGGATGTGCCAGGCACCAGGGACCAAAGTCCCACCCTACACTGCACCCCAGGACCAGTGCAGCCACGCAGGGGTTGTGCCCATGTCCAGGAGTTGGCACGCTCCCCTGGCAATGAGCAGCTGGCGGTCAGGGATAACTGACTCAGTGTTTGAAGCTCAGTGAGGCCTGGAGGAGCCCTTTTTTGGCCAGCAGCGCTGCTGCTGACCGAGGAGCAAAGGGCGGTTTCACATTAACCAAGGAAGTGCAGCCTCTGCTTCAGCTTAAGTGGCATGGCTGCAAGGGTCCCTGGCTCGGACGCACAGCTCGCCAGGGCCCGGTGAGAAGGGGTCAGCCTAGGGGAGATCCCCAGACTCTACCACAACACAGGAGCCATGGCAAAAACGCCCGGAGAGCCTGGATCCACACTGGGTTGGAGACAGCTCTGTCCCACAGGTGGCTGGACAGAGGGTTCTGCCTCCCTGGGAGACAGCTGGCACTGCCAAGCCCACCTTCCGCAGTGGCTGAGGGGAGGGGACTGAGTGAGTGCTGAGTCCCCAGGAGCAGCAGCAGGAGGAACTGGACGCAGAGCCAGGACTGTGGAAAGTCGCCCAGCCTGTCATGGCCTGCAGCATGGGACCCTGTAGCCGGGAGCTGCTTTAGCTGGCAGTCAGCTGCCTCCCACCTCCTAGCCAGGTGGCCCTTTACCAGGCTGTGGCACCAACTGCAGACGGGAGAGGACTCCTGCAGCTGGGCTCACCTCTGAGCAGCGCAGCTCTGCCACAGGGATGCCAGCGGGCACTGGCAGAGGCTCTCAGCTTGCACTCGGGGGCTGCATCTCCAAAGGCGCTCTCTTCCTGCTGGTTTTCCGAGCAATAATTCAACTGCAGCTGCTGATAGCTTCAGAAACCTCAGCTGAGGAATTGCTGCCTGCACAAGCATTAGGATCGGTGCCCTGTCAGACACACGTAAGGGTCCCCCACAGTCAGACACCTCAGGACGCCCCCCCCATCAAACATGTCAGCCTAATCCTGCCAGCTCCCTGGCTGCACCTTCACCGTGCATTTCACGAGTAGCTCACACAGTCTTTCTCTGCTTGTGTTTGCACATCTGTAAAATGGGTCAGTAATCCTTACTCCCCGGAAGGCCTGTATTTGGGTGAAAGCAGCTAGGCCTCTGCAGAGCACCGAGCTCCTCCATGGGCCCTGGTCGCCTGCCTCCAGCTGTCCTTGAGTCTGGGTGCCTGGCCACCCGCCAGCATTCAGCTCCCAGGGCCTGCGCACTGTTCCCTAGCCTCCACCATGCCCCTCCACCCTCCAGCTGAGGCAACTCCCCCAACCCTTCCCAGTTCTCAAGGCCTCCACACAGAAAACCCTTTCTTAATACTTGTTGATTGATTTGCAAATACAGCCTGGCAGGCCCCAGAGAAGAGCCAAACTCACAAGGACGGAGTCTCCTTGTGAAGGGAAGGCGCCCAGCCAGTAGGGCTGCCCGGACGGACAGGACAGCTCTGACAGCCGGCCCTGTTGCCTGTCCCCGCAGGGGTGTCTCCAATCCCACATCTCCTGTAGGAAGAGAACCCCGCCACCCCCGCTCAAGTCCCAAAATGCAGGAAGGCATCAGGGCACAGGCAGAGGGCGTCCCGGCAGTGGTGACCACGGTTTCAACTCTGTCCGGGTCACCTGCTGGCACCCCCCAGGAGTACAGGGAACTCACGCTTCTCTTCCTGCCTCACAGTCTCCAACCACAGCCAGGAAACCGCTGGGCAGGCAGGGCAGAGACCCCCTAGGCGCCAAGACCCTCCTCCTCCTGCACCTCCTCCTTCTCCGCTTGTCAGGGCAGGCCGGCGTGCCAGGCTGCACGTGCCACAGGTGGCCCCTGCCCAGACCACCCTGCAGGGCCCCTCTCCTTCCCAAGGCGGAAAGGAGGCGCGAGGGACCCCCTGCCTCCCACCGGGCAAAAAAGGGAGGCCATCGGCGCTCGCCTGAAGGAAGCAGCAAACCGACTTTGCCCGTGGCTGGCGGCCCCTGGCTCGGCTCGGAGGCGCCAAGTCCCGGACGCTCCCAGGGAGCGAAGTCCGCCCGGCGGCTCTGGCCTCCGCCCGCCGTCCGAGGCACCCGGGCGCCGCGAGTCCCGTCCCCAGACCGGGGCCGAGCCGGCCCGCGCCCCGCTCCCAAGCTCCGGCCGGGCGCCAGTTCTCCCCGCACGTCCCAGACCCGGAGCCCGCGCACCTCTGCCTCAGTCCGTCCGCGCCCCTGTCCCGGCGCCCCGAGTCTCCGTCCTCCCTCTGTCCTCCCCCTCGCGCCCACGGAACCCCTGTTGCCCCACGCGCCCAGCCCGCGTCTCCGCGCCCCCAACTGCTGCTCCCCGCGCGTCCAGGGCGCAAACACCCGCGCTTCCAGCCAAAACAAAGAAGGCGGAGGCGCGTGACCGCGCGCCCCGCTCCCTCCCGGCCCCAGGTACCTGGGTGAGCCCCCGGCGCGGTCCGGCGAGGCGATGGCCGGCAGCGAAGCTGGGCGCCAAGCAGCGCGCGGGCGGGCCCGTCCTTCTGGCTGGCGGCCCGCGCCCGCGGCGGCAGGGCCCCCTCGAGGCGGAGCGGGCAATCGCCGCGGCCCGCGCCCGGCCGGTCACCTGGCCTCATCACCCTAACAAAGCCGCACGTCTCCACCCGCTGGCCATCCGCGCCCCTGCCCTGACGGGGGGACCCCTGGGACCTGTCTCCGCAGGGTCCCCAGGCCCCGCAGGGTGCCTCAGGATCTCCGTGTCTCTCGGGGCCCTGCTGTGCAAGAACACCCAGGAAGGCAAGGCGGCACTCTGACACTGCTCGTGGGGAGTCGGGTCTGTGCTGTTGTCCACGCAGCTTACAGGTTGTCCACCCCGAGGTCTGACAGTCCCAGCCTGTCTTCCTCTCTGTGAAATCTGAGGCCAGGATTCATGGCAGCGGAGCAGGTGGGCAGGGTCCTGTGGACACCGGCAGCCCCAGCCACCCAAAGGGGGTGATCAGCACACCCCTCGCTTACAGCCTACAGAAGGGGCATCTCCGGCACCTGCCACACTGGGCACAGGCTTCAAGTGCGGATACCAGTAGCTAACAGTCCTCAACACCACATTGCCGGCCCTTGGGGTTCCCTCTGCCCCTCTCGGCCTGACCAGAGCCATACTGGTCAGAGCTGGTGCAGAAACACAGCATGAAAAGTGTCTTGGGAAGGACTGTCTGGAGAGCAGCTGCTGGACACCCAATGCCAGCCAGGCCTGCAGGGGCCCTGCTGCCAAGCTGGCCTCCCTGGCTGATGCCCACCCCCCATGCCCCAGTGCCCTGCGCTGCGCAGTGTGTCCAGGTGCAGCCAGAGCACTCCTGGGGGGCAAGTCTGGGGAAGCGGGACCCAGCGGCCAGGCACCTCTCTTATCCCTGGGCAAACTCAGTGAACTCTGAGCCCCGGGCACCTGGGAGGTTGGCATGGTTTTGTACTCTTCAGGGGACCCCAGCCCTAGAGGGAGATGAGGTGGGGGGCAGGAAAGAAGTCGCCAGTGGGCTAGGAAGTGTCCCCTCCAGCCGGCAGGTCTAGAGCTGGAGGCAAGGTCGCCCTGGGCCTGGACTCCCAGAGTGGGAGGGAGGCCTGGAGTCCTTGGAGTCATGCCCAAGGACATTGGGCTAGTCAGGGTCAGAACATGGTAGGAACTTGACCACCTGGCCTCTCGACTTCCTCCTTCCTGGCCAGGGCTTAGCCCCTGCCAGCCACACAGTTGTGCCCCGTCCTTCCCACTGACCAGGGCGACCTGACACTTTCCCAGAAACCGTCAGATGCCAGTGTCTGCAGTAGCTGAGCAACTACGTGACTTTGAAGTCCCCTTACAGGACTGGGAAACAGGACAGCTTTGTGTAAGGTCTCCCCGGACTCCTGTTCAGCAGGCAACCCACAGCCCCGGCTAAGTTAGTAGGGAATGCCCTGGCTCCTGGCACAAAGGTTGGCTTGGGCTCCCATTTAATAATAATAATAATAAATTATTTATTTGAGAGGCAGAGTTCCTGAGAGAGGGACACACACACACACACTCCCCTGATTGCCACAGTAGCCAAGGCAGAGCCAAGAGCCAGGAACTTCTTCCAGATCCCCCACGTGGTTACAGGGACCCAAGGACCTGGGCCACCCTCTGCTGCTTTTCCAGGTGCATCAACAGAAGAGGAGAAGTGGGGCACCTGGGACCCAAACAGGATGCCAGTGTCACAGGTGGCAGCTTGGTCCAGGCTTCCATTGCTTCCCGTTCTTGCCTGTCTGCCTGGACCACACTGCGATGTGTCCCCAGAGAGCAGAGCTGGAGGTTGCACTCCTGTGCGCCCCGTGGGAGCCTGTGCAGGGGTCATGCCTTCCCCACCCAGCGTCCAAGCTCGGCTCCTGGCGTCCTCCCAGGTTCAGGACCTCCCCACTTCACAGGCTCAACTTGGGGTTTCCAAGAAGTTAAATGGAAACAGGAGCTCAAACAATTATCTGAAAAAAGAGAACATGCATTTTTTCCATCCTTCGCCATCCAAAAATATCTCCTATTTGAAAACAGAAGTCTCAGACCAATTTATCTGGAGAAAGCATCTTCTTAAGTCAATAGGGCCCCTCCCCACACCCCTGTGGGGCCAGGCTGGCCTGGGCAGGAGGCCCCCACCATCTCTCTCCTCCAGAGGCCCACTCTCAGTCTCTCCCACGCCCCACACCCACCCCAGTGGGAGCTCTGGAAGGGAGTTTGCAAATCAGATATGGCCAGGCTGGGGAGGAAGCTGATGAGCGTGCACCCCCAGATGTGAGGAAGTGTGCCAGCAGCAGCTTGGGTCCTGGGCTGCCTTTTTGTTCCCTTTTGCTCAGAATTAATGTTTTCCACAGACCTGCCCACTGGCAGAGACAGTGGGAAGCATTGGCTGGCCCGGCACACCCACGGCTCTGTCGGCCCTGCCACGAGTGTGAGCCCAGGTCACTGCTGTGCCAGGGGACACTGAGTTAGCCTCGTGTCCCTCCCCTTCCTCTTCTGCCAATTGCACATCTTCACCTGCGCCTGACCTCTCAGTTCTGTTTCTCTGCAGGATTTATGTGCATTGCTTATTATTTTTAAAGATGTATTTATTTGAAAGTCAGGTACAGAGACAGGAATAGTCAAAAAGATCTGGTTTGCTCCCCAGATGGCTGTGACCCAGTGCTGGGCCAGGCCCAAGCAGAAGCTGGAAGCTTTCTCCTGGCCTCCCATGTGGACGCAGGGGCCAAGCGCTGCTGCCTTTCTGAAGCTGTCAGCAGGGAGCTGAATGGGAAGTGGAGCAGCAGGGACATGAGCCAGCACAATGCAGTCCCACATATACACATTTTATTTCTGATTCCTAATTGTTGCTCATCCACAGGACACAGGGGCCTAGAACCTGGAAGGAGGAGGCAGTGATCCCAGAGCAAGTGCAGGCAGAGGAGGGGTGAGCCCAGCCACAGAATGTCAGCAACCATCCCAGCCACGCCGCTGGCTATGGCTGGCAGTGCTGCGGCTTCCCCGCAAGACCGTTCCCCGTCTGCCCCCAACTCAGCCAGTTCCCGCTGTGCCGTCAGAGGGGAGGGTCTGCAGTACTTCGTGGAATGTGGTTGGAGGAGAAAGGAAAGGCAGGGAGCAGAGGAGGGAGTGGATGAACCAACCTGCTCGAGGGGTCGCAGGCCCAGGGCAGTCCCGAGAGATGCGGGGGCAGTGCGCAGGCGTACCTGGCTTCCAGGTACCCAGGACACACATTTACACACACATGTGTCCCAGGTTTATTTATAAACCTACATACTCATGCATGATCCAGCATCATTTATAAATTTACATGCACATGCGTGTTCCAGAATTATCTATAAATTTACACACATCTGTGTTGTGGCATCATTATAAAATGATGCTGATTTACAGTTAGTACCTGAATTTACCAGGTACTTGGAAAGGTGTGTGGCCACTGAATGGCACGTAAAGCTCAGTGGGAAAATCTATGTGTGTGAGCAGCCTTCGAAGAGGTCACATGACACACACATTGTGAAAGGGCCATGCATGGATGTCAGAATTTTCCACATGGAACAAGCCTGTTTCTTCATTGTGTGTGTGTATGTGTGTGTGTTTTAAAGGTTTATTTATTTTTATTGGAAACTCAGATACGCAGAGAGAAGAGACAGAGAGGAAGATCTTCCATCCACTGATTCATTCCCCAAGTGGCCACAACGTCCGGAACTGAGCTGATCCTAAGCCAGGAGCCAGGAACCTCCTCCGGGTCTCCCACGCGGGTGCAGGGTCCCAGGGATTTGGGCCGTCCTTGACTGCTTTCCCAGACTGCAAGCAGGGATCTAGATGCGAAGCAGGGCTGCTGGGATTAGAACCGGTGCCCTGGAGCGTGCAAGACAAGGACTTTAGCTGCTAGGCTGCTGTGCTGGGCCCTTATCTTTGCATTTTTGCAAATCCTTTATGATGTTCTCTCTAATATTGCTTTGAAAATGTCGCTCATGATTATTTAGTTGAATCCACCCACCCCGGCAGTGGCTCACAGAGGCTGCAGTCCTACCAGACCCAGGAGTCTGGAATCCCCTTTAGATCCCGGGGTCCAGAGGGGTGTGCACACCAGGCAGAAGGGCAGACCTGCTGTCCCTGTGTAGCCTGGGGTGCCTGCACCCCATCTGTCTACAGGAGTGTCTTCCCTGGGTGCACAACCTGGACCCTAGGTGGTCCCCCCAATGTCTCTTCCCTGCCAGGCCCTGGAGAGGCTGTGCTCCCCTTGGGGCCTCTGGATGGAGGCAGAACCAGCTGGCTTACTCCCCACCCGGCCCACAGCTGAGAGCAGCTCTAAACCCTCTGGGCAGGAGCTGGCCAGCCTGTGGGGCCACTTCCATCTTGCAGTTCCCCAGACAGGGAGGAGGCAGCATGGAGCTGTCGCCCCGGCAGGGGAAGCTGTGCTGTGTGCCCCACTCCTCCCTGACCCAGAAGAACGCCTCCTGCCCGAGGTGTGGGCACTCTGGGACTTCTGGAACCCGGAGGAGGCAGCTGCAGGGGCTCAGACCCTCAGACCCTGCCAGGCGTGCGGGGACCCGGGTGCAGCTCCAGCTCCCGTGTGTATAGAGAGATCCGATGGTTGGAAGCACTGAGTGTTCCCTCTGTCGGGCACTGATCTACCTCTGTGCCGCTCAAGGAAATGAGATGAGCGAAACACCAAAGGCACAGCTCGTTGCCTCAGGTGAGGATTCCAAGCCTGACAGATGAGCTCAGCGCTCCGGGAAGGGGGGAGTGGGAGACATGGGGATTCCTGAACCTCCCTCTGAATTCCAGGACGGGGGCCAGGAATGTGCTCTTCAAAAAAAGAAAGAAAGAAAGAAAAGGTCTCCATGTTGTTGTAATTACCACATAAGAAAGAAATGTGTGTTCTCTTGAGCAGGCCGTCCGCCCCGAGGGTGCAGCCTGCACACCGACCCAGGAATTTAGCAGGGCATCTTCCCAACTCTTTAAATCCAACCCGCGCTCCTGGCTCCACACACGCCCGGCAGCTGGGTGGATGGCTCCTCTGG